TTTTTTTTTGATGCGTATGTATGTAGAATGACATTGTAGCCATTCAATATTTTGAAAGAATTTCACTTAAAAGAGTACAATATCTATGCCTGGTTTTGTTTCTGTTTCATTTTTTGATGATGGTTTGTTTATTATTTTGTTTATCTCCAAATGTGCATAGGTCAGAAATTTGCAGTGAACCTTTATAAACATATCAGAAATAGTAACCTGGTTTCTGTGTGCATAAGTCACTTAAAAGAGTACAATAGAATATGCAAGTTTCTACTACAACCACACTACATGTTTAGTATTCTCTACCATTTGGGTTATATGGGTCGGGTCGGGTAACCCGTTTAATAAACGGGTTGGATCGCATTGACCCATTTATTAAACGGGTCGGGGCGGGTCACACTTATACGGGTCGGGTAAACTATGACCCGACCCGACCCGACCCGACCCGACCCGTTTGCCACCCCTACCCTAAATCAATCCCGACCGTGCATTTATTTCCATCAAACTCCCCAAACTGCTTTATTTTGTTTATTTATTAGGCTAAATTAATAGTCCTTAAATACCTTTCTTTACCGTCTTTACACAAAAATATCTTAAGTTACAAAAAATAGCACATAAATATTTTAAGTTGTCACCATTAAAAACTCATTACGACAAAAGTCCCTCTTCATAGAAATTTAATAAAATATTGAGGATATAGATAGTGGTAAATATGACAATAAATTGAGTCAATACAATTATAAAAACATCATATGCTCATCACATGATAATATTTCTAGAAATATTCCAAATGTAACTAATAGAAGGTACTAACGTTTTATTTTTTTCATCTTAGGGTACTTAATACTATTTTTTTACAACTTCGGATATTAAAGTACCACTTTTTATATCTTAACCATATCACATCCTTGATCTCATAAAATAGGATGAATTTGAGACAATATTTTCTAAATACGTAATTATCTTGAATATATCAACCATTTCTTTATTTCCTAATTGCTTGAAAGAGATAAAAGAAACATCTTGATTTTTCTTTAAAAAATTCTAATCTCTAATGAACCTCTTAGTAGAATTCGAACCCAGATGAAGTTCTGATCATTTGTCAAATAAAAAAGAATGAATTGATATTGTAGGATCCCCAATAAATTCTTTGATTTCTTTCGAAAGCAAATGCTTATTCATCTGCTTCTCACATTTCCTGAATATCTGGACATTGAGGAAGATCCAAAAAAACATTTTGGGAATTGATCTAATTCTATCTCTGTTCATTTCGCTTGAAGAAAGGGTCCCAAAGAATTGATCTTTCTTGTAGATGTTGAATCTCAGTTTGATCGATCAATGTCTGATGATCTTAATCCTCATTTCTAATGGAATCGAAATGATCTCTGGATTGGTCAGAATATCCTTTTAATTGGCTAGAATCATTTTGAAGTGTAAAGATTGAAAGAGGGATTTAAGTGTCATTTAGGCCGTTATTATGAAACTTTCTAACATTATTTTAGGAAATTTCTAATTGGTGGATGTTAGCACACATTAGAAAATGAGAGAGATGAGAGAAAATTCGTGCAAAATCAGAGGGCAGTCACTTGTTACTCACTTCTCTTTTATCTCTCTCATCTCCCAGTGAGTGCCTAGTGGCACCTTTTAGAGAAACCATTTTTTTTATTACAATACTTCTCTGTTGTTAAGAATTTTTTTAATATTTTATTTTATTTTTATCTTATTTTCTAAAATACCCCTCAATAAAGCCTACATTCTCTTTTAAACTATTGCATAAAGATTCTATTTGCTATCCACCAAGATATGAAGTAAAAGTTCCCTCCTATCGTTCTAATAGTAGTATAATGACAGAAAAAATACAGTTTGGTAACATTAAAATTTTCTAGATCAAGCCCATCGACACCGGTATATATAACCTTTTCCCCCATTTTAGATCTGTCTTGTTTGGTTAGATTTTGTTTCATAACCAAATATTCATTCTCCCAAAAAAAAATGACGCCCTTGGAAGGATTTTAATTTGAAATTTTTAACCAATGCCACACTTTTTTTTTGGAGAAAGATGAATGTCCCATGATTATCCGAAAAATTAATTGTAGACCCTACAATTTACTTTACAACTTTTGGACATAAAAAAGAGTGGGGAAAAAAAAAACATGCAGCCATACCAATCAGCCATTGAAATTTTCTTATTTTCAATATTTTTTATTATTATAAGGAAAAGATAAAAGGTAAAACGCAATCCTCATCCTTCTCAAAGACCTCGAATTTCCATCACGTAAATACTGCCGACTGCTGCTACATTGTACTAGCTTTGTTAACGAAGGACATTTTGTAGGACCACAGAATTAGTTGTGTAGGCTATTGGCGCCCTCGGTCGGATAAAAAATTTCGCACGCAAAACGAAGGGAAAAAGATGGTCACTGGTCAGCCTAAGGTTGGGTCTTGGTCCCTAGCGTGTGGGTTCGAACAAGCCAGAACTCCCCAATTTTGCAGCACAACTGTCTGCAACCCACCCATCCCCTCGTTAGCCTTTTAAAAAAAAATAATAAATAAATAAATCTACATGAGGAGAAGAGGTTGAGCTTTTAGGTGCAAAAAAGTGGTCAAATTTTAGTTTCGGACTAATTATATTTTTCCTCTTACAGTTTCATATTGGTTTTCTAAGTGGATAATTTTCTAGTGTCACTAATAATAACATCCAAGGTGAAGATATTGTAGATTCACAAACAAACTTTGAAGCTCCAAATTGCAAAAATTAAATTCATAATGATAGATATGGTTTATTGTCTAACTGATTTCAATGTGTTTTAATCCTGTATTAAGGGGCTGTTTGGTTCGTTTCCTAGATATAGGGAAATGTATTTCCATGTACAAAACCACTTTGAGTTTTTCAAACTTTTCCAAGAAATAGATTATTTCGCTTTGGTCCGCATAAAAAATGGTGGGAAACCAATGTATTTATTTTTCTTGTGTTTGGTTCGCATGGGAAAAATGAAAAACTTTTGTTTATACGGTAAAAAGCCGACATGGCTGTAGTTTTCGTCGATTTCACGAGGTTGAGGAAGGAATTGGGGGAGAGAAAAAAATCTGATGTTGCGACGATTTTCACCGAGTTTTCCTTCTTCAACATTAGCGAACCAAAAATGGAAAAAAAACCAATGGAAAACTTATATTCTACGTGGCCATAAAAAATCTGATGTTCTGATATGAAGGCGGTGTAAAACTTTTCCATGGAGTTAAAAAACGAACCAATTAACGCGGAATGCATGATTAAAACACGTTGATGAGATTATAGTTCCTGTATTGACCACGTCTTGTATTGAAGCATAAAATTCTAGGATTCATAACTGTTATATATTTTGAAAGTGTAAACTAAAAAATCAAGATTTTCAATGACCCTCCTATGAGCTAACAGGTTAAAGTGTATCATTATGTTGATAGAGCTTTTAGGTAGATTACTCCTAAATTAATAAGGGTTAACTCCTTTTCCCTCCGAAAGTAGATCGCGAGAAATTACTTTAATCCAACACATCTCAAGAGATCTCACAAGCCCGAGATCTCGTTGCTTTTAATTTCAAAAGTGGTACGAAAGCAGCTCAGATGCAAATGACAAAACTACCCTCCTAAAGTACGGCCTCCACGTTGGTGCAGACAACAGTATGGGGGTGTTTCGGTCAAAATACAAGCAATGATGGCGGTATCTCTGGCTCCACCCGCCTTTATTTTATCTTTTACCAACGCTAGTTGTAGGTTTTGACAGTTTCGAACTCTGGGCACTGTTCAGTGCAGTAACAAGCCAAAAAAATAATGGATCTTTTGCTTGTATAACCCAAAGCGTGTGTTTATTTGCAAACTTGCTTCTCGAATCCAATGCTTTTTTTATTTCACACCCCGGTACTACAAATTATACTCCTGATTAAATTAATTAATTTTATTAATTAATAATTAGATGGAGAGACGGAAGAAAGAAAGAGAGAGAAGATGACCTGCAGTAGATTTTAACTGGTATACCTTCTGTCTTATCTCTCTATCTAGTTATAAATTAATGAAATTACTTATTTAACCAATAATATTTTAGAGACGTCAAAAATTAACGAGGTGAAATACCATTGTGATCAAGGGCAATTATCCAGTATCAAGATCAATTTTGTTACATTTAAAAATACATTTGATTGAAAATTATATTTTTCGTGGAAAAAGGAGAAAAAGTAGGAAAATAGAAGGGGGAAAAACTCTAGAGAGAGAAAGGGTGAGAGGGGATGGCCACTTTTTTAACTTTTTTATGCTGCACGCATCCACAGCAGGGGGAGAGAGAGAGAAGCTAAAGACCACCAACACCACCTCTTCGTCCTCAAAACTATCCGCTATAGAGAGAGAAAGTAGAGAGAGAAGCTCTGGGGAACGAGGGGGAGGAGATGAGAGAGAAGACAACGGAGAGGAGAGAGATAACGGGAGATGAAGCAAAGACGCTGCCCTTAGAGATTGTAGTGCATTGAGATCCAGTCTTCACCAAGATTAGATCTTTCTTCGTTTTTCTTGTAGTAGAGCTGGTTTCCTACAAACCCATCTCCTTAGTTTAGAGATTGAAGCAAGAGGGATGCCCTTTACTCAAATTCAAAGCCAGGGGGTTGAAGAACACGAGATTAGAGCAGATTTTTGGAGCAACAAGAAAAGGAAAGCAGTTGCGGGACTGAGAGAACCGACTTCGGTTCTTGACAAGAGAAGGAGCCCAAGCCCTCCAACTTCTTCATCAACACTGTCTTCTTCTCTCAACAGCGGCAGCGGCGGCGGAGGCGGAGGCGGCCCGCCGGAGCGCGGCCAGATTTCACCAGGTCCCTCCCTCCTCGATGTGGGCCCGGAAAAATGAGCTTTGTTGGGCCCCAGTAGAGGATGCCGGCGGCGGCGGAGGCCAAGACCCGAGCTTTCTCAGGTGGATCATGGGCGATAACGTCGATGATGTCGGCAACAACGGATCGAGCTTCGGGCTAATCGATCCCTTGATGGGGCTCGAGCCCAATCCTTTCGGAGCTCAGGCTAACAATTTCCAATCTCTGTCATTGCCAACGGCGACGACGATGAGCACTCTCAGTCTCCCTCTACCTCCTGTGTTTTTACAAGAACCCATCGAAGAAAAACCTATCCATTTCAGTCCAAATCTCATCCTCAACCATCACCAGCAGCTCCCGCCTCCTCAAAATCCCTCCTTTTTCCTCCCACTTCCCCAATTCAACTCCCACATCGAAACCCATCACCCCCATTTCCCAGATTCTGCCAATGGAAACAGCCTCTTTCTCCGTCGAAACCAGCTTCAAAACCCTAGCTTTTCAAACCCTAAGGTCAAGGACGAGTTCTCCGGCCATCAGCAGGCGATAGTAGACCAGCTGTTCAAGGCGGCGGAGCTTGTCGAGGCCGGAAACTCCATTGGCGCACGTGGGATATTGGCGCGGCTCAATCACCAGCTCCCTTCATTTCCTGTTATAGGAAAACCCTTGTTTCGTTCTGCTTTCTATTTCAAGGAAGCTCTCCTTCTTCTTGCTAATAACAATCCCCCAAATTCACCTTTATCGACTCCCTTGGATGTGCTCCTCAAGCTTGGAACTTATAAAGCCTTCTCAGAGATTTCCCCAATTGTTCAATTTACGAATTTTACTTCGATTCAAGCAATTCTCGAGGAGCTCCATGGATGCAATAAGATTCATGTGGTAGATTTCGATGTTGGGGTTGGAGGGCACTGGTCTTCGTTTTTGCAAGAACTTGCCCATCGTCGAGGAGGAGCTACACCTTCTCTCAAGATAACAGCTTTTGTTTCCCATTCATCTCATCACCCACTCGAGCTCCATCTCACGAGAGAGAACCTCTCTCATTTCGCAGCTGAACTCAACATTCCCTTCGAATTCAATGCGCTTAGCCTCGAGGGCTTCGACCCGTCAGCATTTCTCGCTGTATCGTCACCCGATGAAGCAATTGCAGTGAATTTCCCAATTGGGTCAGTGCTCAATTACCAGTCAATTCCGACAGTACTTCGATTTGTCAAGCAATTGAACCCAAAGATTGTGGTCTCAGTAGAACATGGGTGTGATCGCAGTGATCTCCCGTTTTCTACCCATTTCCTCCATGCATTTCAGGCTTGCACCATCCTTCTTGATTCAATTGATGCTTCAGGAGCTAATCAAGATGTTGCCAACAAAATCGAACGATATTTAGTTCAGCCAAGGATTGAGAATGTGGTTCTATGTCGTCATCGGTCAGTTGAGAAGATGGTCCCTTGGAGAGCTCTATTTGCGTCGGCTGGGTTTGTGCCATTCCAATTCAGTAACTTCACCGAGACGCAGGCTGAATGCTTACTGAAGAGGGTGCAGGTTCGAGGTTTTCAGGTTGAGAAGCGGCAGGCTTCGCTGTTCTTGTGCTGGCAAAGGGGAGAGCTCGTCTCGGTTTCAGCTTGGAAATGCTGAGGAGAGGTGATCCTTTACTCTTCATCTACCTGCTAGTTAGTTTGTTTGCCTTTGTATTATCCGAGGCAACGTCTTTTGTTGTCATATATGGTAGTATAATTGTCTGATGCCGGGGATTGTTCAAACCCAAAAATTATCTATATGTTTGTTATTTGGATTTGGGCAGTAATGTTTATGGTGTTTCGAATGTTATATTGTGATTTGGAAGCATTGATAGCTTCTGGTTTAGGTGAACTGTACACTTTTAATGGAAAAAAATGGTGAGGATATTTCACAAATCCAGGTCCCTTATTAAATTGCTAGCATGGATACTGTTTACTCATTATGCGCCAATATTTGCCAGTGTACGTAGTTCCATAATTCATAGAACTTAAAATCTTCTGGTTCGTGAAATTTCTGATTCAAATCTTAGCATTTACGTTTCAGAAAAGGTTCCATCTTTCATTGGCTATCTGATTCAAATCTGTTTGAATATCCCAGAAGTTAAAACTCATGTTTTTTTTTTTTGTGAATGTCATGTTGACATGCTTCTTTCCTGTAGAATTTAAGAAAAATCTTTAGCAACAGAATCCTGCAATCTTCTCTCTATTCATGATTCAATGAATCAAATCCTCTTTTGTCTTGGATTAGCAAATCTAATATAATCTTTGTTTTACATTATTATAATACGTGCATATGATTTTCCGGTGCTCTCTTTTTTGCCTGTATGCCTGCATTGTCATATTTATCTTTGGATTAATTTTCATGGCTTTATATAAAATGTTCACTCCTTTGATCTATCACATGGTTTGCGTCCTATTCTCACATGCTAGCCTCGATATTTCATGCTTTTCTCCATCAGCTCTTGTCCTCTCGTTGCCCACCATTGCCATTAGTTTATATCCCTCCTCTGCTTTGTTCAGAGCCTGTTTCATCTTTTAAATCTAAAGCGAACAGAAAAGGATTAAATATAAAGCAAGCCCATGTTGCAGGTAGAATGGAAGTCTTATGCCCTTCCATTATACTATATAGTTTGTCATTTATTAGATCAAGTTAATGCCAACATGCTTTGAATATGGACAAAACAACAATCCTTATCTAACTCAGCGTTTGGTTTAAGTAAAAACTTTTGTTTGTATCCTCACAAAGCAATAATCAAATGTTAGTCTAGGATTAAGGGTTGATAATCCTTATTTTTCTGAGTTTACCTGTAAAATATTCGTAGATCTAAACTAGGGGGTAACAAATACTAGTTCATTTATTGTGGTTGGAATGCCGTAGAGCTTTTGGGACCACATTGTAGTGCAAATACCATGAATATGTTATATATCATGAACTTAATTCTACATTAATGAACCAAAGCTTGCATTGTAGCATAGCCAACCTCAAAAAGGTTTAGATACCTTGCATAAGATGTAGGCAAAAAGAAAGTCGAGGCAATGGCTCACAAGTTTTCCTTCCTTGAGATTTAGGGAAGGCACCCAATATCACAACTTCGATTCAATAGTATCCTTTGTAAAGTTTCAATATGTTGACAAATGCTTACGACAATTTATTTGTATACAAATTAGAGCTTTAACATGGGCATGTGTTCTCTCTGCTTCATTGGTTTGCACTAGACTCTAAGATGATCTTCCATGATCTTTTGCTATGAAACTTTATAGCTATTTGCATAAATAGAGAATAGTTTATTGTAAGCTTTCTTGTAAAGGAGATTCCTTCTTGAGACAAAGGAAGTATTAGCCAAGGGATTTGGGAAACCAAAGCACATCAACAATAGGCTTGAAGAATACTTAAGTAGTTTTTGAGATTGTATACAACACATGTAGATCTTTGGTTCAATTTTTTATCCAAACTTATATAATGGAGGTTATTTTCTTTATTCTTATTCCACTCTTATTGCCAGTGGAATAAACTCTTGGAATAAGAATTATTACATAGTGAATCCTACTATTCCTCCTCACAAAGATTCAAGAATAGCCTATTCTCAAACCATACTATAGGCCTTTAACGATTCATTCCAGCAGTAGATTTCTAAGGATTTTGAAGTTAATCGGGGAAATTAAGGAATCGCCTGTACTCTTATCTAGTGTATTCAAAGAACCTGAAACGTGGAAATATTCAGACTCAATTTGATGCTGAGGGATTGGAATAAATCTAAAAACTTAATGAAGACATGTTTAGAGATTCATTTGACACAAGAAAGTAGTAATTTTTCGAGAAATCGAAAATCTGTTTTTTCTGTCGATAATGGATTTAAAATTCTATTGTGTATACCATATGTGGTCCTTAATCATGAGGCTAATGATATATTAACACATAACACGATCTAATGATCATTTAGTGCTCATATTCTTGGTTATCATTATGAAGAAACATCAAATGATTGTTTCCGTCTTTTTTTTTCTTTTTCTGTTTTGTTACTAATTCTCTCATCTATTCGTGGCGTCTTGCTTTTTTCATTATCAATCCAATGTTAAGATTTTGTCGAAAAGTGGCTCTCCATTATTAGTGCAAGTACTAATTGCAAGCCTCACTTAGATTAACGTTCTTTTTTTAAAACATCTATCTAGTTATGAGGTCAACTAATTACTTAACCAATAAGTTATGTTAGGAGTGTACAAATTGTACCAGAGAGCCCATTTTCTATGGTTCTTAGTGACAAAACCATGATGAGATTTTGTTCTTGCTATCCGATATCGTCGTCTCTTTCACAAGATGCTTTCAACGCATAAGAGCCCAATCATAGTATATGTTTATAACAACACTACAATGCAATAAGGGAGCAAATAGAATTCTTTATCCAAGGCCCTCCTAGCAGAAAAGCTCAACAAGAGGTCGTCATCAAACAAAAAAACATGAAGCTTTTCTTAAGAGAATCAAAGTGTGGAGAGAAGGCTAGTGTCCTTATCATCATAGAAAGGAGATTCTTAAAGAGAGAAGGAAGAGGGGGGGACACATAACAGAGACGGGTCCCGGTTGCGACCATTGTCATATATTTGTCAAAATTTTCTTTTACTATACCAAAATTCTTGAGTTATGAGGACTAAGGGTTAATTTTATACTCTGATAGGCTCTTTATAGGTTGAGCAATCTTCTGAAGAGCCGAAATCTAGACTCGCATGGGAATATCTTTTATCCCCGCCTCCTCAAATATGCTTAAATAAAGTTGGATTGTTACCACGCTAATGACTTTTCCGCTGCACCAAAACTTTAAAGTTATGATCAAGGTTAATAATAATAACTTTATGCTCTAAACATGATCGTCATCGGACGGTGGTCCGGCCCTTTTGGTTTTGATACACACAATAAGCTCTCTATAAAGTGAACCTCCCTTTGCATGTGGGTCTAAACATGCATGAAAGTTGTTCATGATAAGAAACTTTTCATCACGAAAAGAATGAGAGAAGGTACTTTTGTCATTAAGAAGTCTTATAGGATTCGGTGCCAACATTGGAAAACAAAGATTGGGTCAGTTGGCCTAGATGGACCCTTATCTCTTGCATGAAATGGAAAGAAAAGGTTTTCATACAGTCCACTAACTACTTCTCTAATCATGTATAAAGGCACAGTTGGCGTTATTCTGTCATAAAGTTACAACCACAGTTGGCTCTTTCAAGCTGTACCGTTCGAGAAAATATCATGTATGTTTACATAAAGTTTATCTTGTAAATTTTGCCTCTTGTACTTACTGACATAGGTCCTTAAATGCACTCGGTCAAAGAAGAGTTTTGCTACATGGACCCAAAATAAGGGACCAACAGGGGGGACATGTGAGGTGTCTCCTTCCTATTGCATAATGAGCTGGCCATCATTAATGATGATCAGCTCATTATGCAATAGGAAGGAGACACCTCACATGTCCCCCATGTTGGTCCCATATTTTAGGTCATTGGGGAATTTTTCGTCAAAGAAATAATAAGATTACAGTTAAACGAAACAAGCTACTAGTAAGTAGATGTAGGCCTAAAAAATTTTTATGAGAAGCAATCTAAAATGACGTGATAATAATTAATGGAGGGGCGATAGTCCTTGAAAACTAGATGGAAGATTATGATATATGTAGTCGACCCCAAATATTTAATGAAGACTTTATTGTTGTTTTTGTTGAAGCTTGAGGATAAGATGAGAAATAATCAGCACCCAATTTAATATAAGACAAAAAGAACAAATTTTTATATTTCGACCATTATTTAAATTTATTTAGCATTTTCAATACGCTTTTAAAAAAACTTAGTCGAAATTGGTAATCAAGTTACAAAGTAGGCCGAACACGCTAAATAAACTTTATAAAAGACCAAAAATGAATATTTGCCCGGACTAAACTTGTAAAATAGGAATAGAAATTGATTCCGCAAGGAATTTTGAGAAGACGATTGAACTAGTTTCCGGTGGACTATGCTCCGTTGTCAAATTCTGGACTGCTGCTGACTAAATGTTCAAAATTTCAAATCATAATCCTCTGAAAGACAAACTGCTGACACTAGTAACCAGCTTCAAATTCCAACAAATCTCAAAAGTTAAAACGCATCCCAATCGCTTCAGCAACACCATAATTAGTACCTCAAAATCCAACTTTTGGGTGTTATTTTAAATCTGCACCAAACTATTATAAAAGTCAATAAAAAAATACCACATAAAAGTTTTCCATCAAAAAAAAAAAAAAAACGGCTACATTAAAGTTGCACTGATGTTTTTAAGAATCTTTCCAAATTTGAATGCATGAAAGATCTCATTGTCCCATACTATTTCTGCAAGAATGTTACACTTGTCTAGCTAAAGAATTTCAACCATTGTTTACACTCATCTAACCTTTGGTGATCTGTACGTATTTGGTCAGATCTCCTAAAGTTGTTTCAGTGAAAGGAAGTTGACCCTCATGCCATAATTGTATCTACTCGCTAAGGTAATCAATGATCACAACAATATCGTCTTTCCTTTTATGGGGGTAGTTGTAGTACTAGGATTTGGCTTGAGCCAAAGTGGAGATGATGAATAATCCTGCAGGTTGAGCACAAAATCAATGATTATGGAGCACCCGCATAGTCCTAGTGTGGTACATAGCGAAATATTAAATCTGCTACCGCCTATGAAAGCAGACGATTATGCCGACCCACGTAATAATATTGTTTGTTTATGTTGCTCTTTTTTTTTTCTCGTCTGTTCTCTATCGATATCCTTGACACCAATGCAGGTGATCGGCAGCGCGCTGGACCACCCTGGCATAAACATTGTCATCCCCACCCCTCAACAGGCGATATCGATCTCTTCGATATCGATATCTATTGTGCGTCATCAAGATATAGGAGTGAGGAACGGTGAGAGCGAGATGAGATAAGCCAGTGAGGTGAGGGGCTGTAGATTTGCCTACGGGGGGAAAAAATGGAAAAAAAAAGAAAAGAAAGAAGAAGCTTGAATTGTTATCATCAGGGCTCTTTTTGCTGCCTTTTTCGGAGATGCCTTGCCACCGCAACTTTCTTTAACATCTCTTTCAGAGTATTCCTTCTCCATGCTTTGTGTGCAGGGTGTGCGCGTTGAACCGACGCTAGCTTCCCTTCCTTTTTCCAATTACATCTTTCGTTTTCACCGAGCACTCTCGTTAATCAGAGGCCAAAAGTTCGTGTAAGATGCTCTGCTTCCGACTTGTTGAACTCTTTTCATTCGTGAAAAAAAAAAAAAATACGCAAGTGAAAATCTTGCGCAACACTGAACCTGGAGTAAGTAATTGGAAAGTTTTGGCAGCCTCTCTGATCTACAATCAGTGAACATTCAGTGAACATTCAAGTATTTTCCAAAAGAGTTGGTTGCATATGAACATTGAGGTACTTTCAAGAAGAGTGAGTCGCACGTAGACCCCATGTAGTTTCCCTGTTTCGAGCTTGCTACAGGTGTAGTTTCAATTTTGCATATACATCATCCCGTTGGCGAATATTGCTATACGCATCTTCAGACACATCAAATGACGTATCTACGTATCATATGAAAAACATAGGCACATCAAATGACATGGAATCTTCGAAGGGTTGAATACGTCATTGGCTATCAGCTAAGCATGCTAAATCAACAAGTTTGTAAGCCTCGTGTCAAGAGGGAACAGAGGTCACCCCGCGTTCTCAGTTACTAAAGATCAGTCTCGAAAAATTCAAAAGTTTGTCTGGGTGCCAAGATCATAGCTGATGCCAACAATGAGATCTTTACGTTTCTTACATATGATATAAACTGATACTTTGAATTGTTTCTATTACACCGAAGAAAA